TTCAAGAATCCTGAAGGACAGGTAGCAAGATGGATTGAGAGACTACAGGAGTTCGACTTTGACACAGAACATCGGGCTGGAACCATCCATAGAAATGCTGACGCCTTGTCAAGAAGACCGTGCCCGGAAGACTGTAAACATTGTCTCAGGGCCGAAGAAAAGGATGTGTTTGTTCGCAGGACTACAATCGTGGATGATCATTGGCAATTCGCTGAGATTCAACAAGACCAAGAAAGGGACCCGGATTTGAAGCTTATCATCGATTGGAAGAATAACGACCGTAAACCAACGTGGCAGGAAGTCGCCCAATATTCGCCGAATGTGAAATCCTACTGGGCCCAATGGAATTCCATCATCTTAAGTGACGGGCTTCTAAAGCGCGTTCTGGAGATGCCAGAAGGGGGGGAAGACCGGAAGCAGATAATAATCCCCATAAACAGGATACCAGAAGTGCTGCAGGAAATCCATGATGGAACTACTGGAGGACATCTTGGAGTGACCAGGACGCTCGGAAGACTTAGGGAACGGTTTTATTGGGTCAACAGCCAACGAGATGTGAAGGAGTGGTGCAAGAAGTGCGCCGTTTGCGCGGCAAGCAATGGACCCCAGAAGCGCCCAAAAGCCCCAATGCGACAGTACAATGTGGGCAGCCCATTTGAGAGAATTGCAATCGACGTGGCGGGTCCATTTCCGGAAACAGAATCTGGAAATAAATACATCATCGTTGTAATGGACTACTTCAGCAAGTGGGCGGAAGCGTACGCCTTGCCAAACCAGGAAGCTGCCACAGTGGCCGATACCCTTATTAAGGAGTGGATTTGTCGTTTTGGTGTGCCAATGGAGATGCATTCAGACTAAGGCAGGAACTTCGAATCTATATTGTTCCAGAATGTCTGTAAGATTCTTAACATTCGCAAGACGAGGACGACTGCATTACATCCGCAGTCTGATGGAATGGTAGAACGAATGAATCGAACGATAAACCGGTACCTGTCCAAGGTAGTCTCTGATCACCAAAGAGACTGGGACCACTTCCTCCATCTGTTCCTGTTGGCGTACCGTTCTTCTATCCACGATACAACCGGCCAGACAACCGCTAGCATTGTTATGGGACGTGAACTTCGTCTACCTTGTGACCTGAGGTTTGGTTGCCTACCAGGGGATGATATTGCTGGAGAAGATTACGTCAACAATTTACGTAGGAAAATGAGCGACATTCACAGCCGAGTTCGTTTAAACATCCAGAGTGCCAGTGATAGAATGAAAGAGGCATACGACATCAAGGCGGAAAATGGAGGATTTCAACCTGGAGACCTAGTTTGGTTATACAACCCTCAACGCCGTCGTGGTTATTCACCGAAGCTGCAGACTTCTTGGGAAGGACCATACGAAGTCATGGATCGAATAAATGACATCATCTACAGGATCAGAAAACAACCAAGAGGAAATCCGAAAGTGATCCATTTTAACCGATTGGCTCCTTACGCTGGAAACAATGATGACCAAATGAACCATGCTAGAGTAAGGCGAGTTAATCCTCCGGAAGACGAGTTGCTTTTTGAAGACTTCATGTATTTATATTCGAGCGGTAAAAAAGCTCGGTATGGTGTCACTCGAGAAGAACAAAAAGATCTGTTTACGGTTTCGGCCGATTACTCCTTGGCTCACTGTGTTGCAGAAGACCTAAGGATGTCCAGGGGAATAGCGGTTGTCTTTAAAAACAAGTTTGGACGGGTCGAAGAGCTACGAAGGCAGAATCCCAAAGTTGGAGAGGTGCTTGAAATTGTGAATAATGAGCAGAAAGGCAACAGAAGTATTTTCTATCTGGTAACGAAGCAGCTCTTTCATCAGAAGCCAAACTACCGTGACGTATGGAATGTCTTAAATAAATTAAGGGATACCCTTTTGTCCAAGGACATCATGAACCTGGCGATACCAAAGATTGCTTGTGGACTTGACGATTTGGACTGGAGAATAATTAGAAGTATGGTGGAAGTTATCCTCAGATTTAGTGGCATACACATTCTTGTCTGTTGCCACAACCCTAAAAGAACAACCGGAAGGAAGACCGTAGACTGCTACTTCTATAGGACGTCACAATGCAAGTTTGGATCTCTATGCAAATATCGCCATGGAGCTGAGAACCATCTTCGGGACGAAAATGTTTTAAGACGGGGGCAATGTAGCGAGTACCGCCCTGGATATCGGAGTGATGACTCATCGCCGATTAGTCATTGCCGGTGAGTCATCGCCGGTGACTCAGCGCTCGAATAATCGAGAGTGTGGAGCTCGCTGGAATGTTCCAGAAGACCTTGGCGCTGTAATATATAAGGAACGACGCATCACAGAGCAGGCAGTTGAGATTTGATACGCGCGAAGAAATAAATAAATATAAGTGCAAATAAATAAACTTGAACAGTAGTGATATATAAATAATTAGTAGTTAAGTGTTTAGTTTTATAGTTTTATAGTGTTTTAAGTGTAGTTAAGTTATTAAATAAATAGTTTAGTTCGTTAATTAACCAGTGCGTGTTTTTATTCACACTACGAACAGTTAAAAACGTTACATTATAATGACATTAAATAGACAAGTTCGGCTCAAACAGAATTTAAATTGAAGTTTGAGAAAAAAGTTAGTTTTTCCTGTCGCCTCACCCGCCCCCAGGCCCTCCTATTTAAGATAATTCAAATTAAAGTGGTGCAATTTATTATCTACCATAATTTATCGACAAATTTAAAATTTTATTTAAAAAATCCAAATATTTCAGATTTTATTCGATTTTAAATTTTTATTATTTATTTTATTAAATTAAAAAAATATTTAAAATGGTATAAAACCTGTAATATTTGGTTTTTTTAAATAAAATTTTAAATTTGTCGATAAATTATAGTAGATAATAAATTGCACCACTTTAATTTGAATTATCTCTGGAGGAACTTTTTTTCGCAAACTTCAATTTAAATTCTGTTTGCGCCGAACTTGTTTATTTAATGTCATTATAAACTATTATAAATTTGGTGTGAGTCCCATGTCTAATAACTGAGATATTGGTATACATAAAATCCACCAGCCGCCACTGGAATATTGTAATTATAATATATTGTAATTAATGTAAAAATCAGTACCCTGAAGAAAAAAACGTTAAATATTCATATGGAAAATCAAATGCTCTACAAAAAAAGTCTTTTATCATTTTTGGCTAAATTCACTCAATCAAAAGTTATTCAAGGGTAAATTTGAAGTCAAAACGAAATTTTAACCTTGAATAACTTTTGATTGAGTGAATTTAGCCAAAAATGTCATAAGAATATTTATCGGTTTTTTATGGGTACTGATTTTTACATGAATTACAAAATTTTTACATGAATTACAAAATTTAAAAGATCAAAATGTAAAAGTATATCAATTTTTAAGGCATGATTTTAAGGAAACGGTCCATCTGACGGAAAATTTTACTTTAACCTTTTTTGTAGAGCATTTAATTTTCTTAAAATAATATTTTTGAGCCAATTTTGTTAAACTCAATGGTTTGGGAGTTCTGAGACAAAAACTTGCTGAGAAAAAAAATTAAAATTGCGATGATAGACCTCTTAATATACCATATTTTCGATATAGTTTAAAAAAAAAAAAGTTGAATTTTTTGGCCCAGTCTAAGGTTCAAGTTAAAATTGTAAGTTGACGTTATAATTGTAGGTTCAAGTTACAATTGTAGGTTCAAGTTACAATTGTAAGTTCAAGTTACAATTGTAGATTCAAGTTACAATTGTAAGTTCAAGTTACAATTGTAGGTTCAAGTTACAATTGTAGGTTCAAGTTACAATTGTAGGTTCAAGTTACAATTGTAAGTTCAAGTTACAATTGTAGGTTCAAGTTACAATTGTAAGTTCAAGTTACAATTGTAGGTTCAAGTTACAATTGTAAGTTCAAGTTACAATTGTAGGTTCAAGTTACAATTGTAAGTTCAAGTTACAATTGTAGGTTCAAGTTACAATTGTAGGTTCAAGTTACAATTGTAGGTTCAAGTTACAATTATAGAATAGAAATTGCAAAAATCAAAGTTAGTTTTGGCTAAAATTTGTAAAATTTTTGTTGGCCCTTCTACGCCTCCGTATAAAACAACATAAAAAGTAAAAAAGTAAAAACATAAATTGTATATTTGTTGTTATAATTGCAAAATTATGGTTTAAAACTGTCATATTTTTGTGTTTCTCATGTTGGCAGTACGAAATTTGAATGTTAAGCACACGACTAAAAAATTTTTACTCCCGCTATTAGAGTGTGCGGCGCACACTGTGCGCGTATAGCTTGACCAATGCAAGAAACGTAAACTTTCTGCCGTGGAATCGGGGACGAAACAACGTATTTTGAGTCGAGGTAGTAAGAAAAAATAATTTCCATATTAATACTAGTTCAAAAGTCAAATTACGACCTCTATACTGTGGAGAGTATTGAAACGCTCGACTTCTATATTTTAAAATAAAAAATAAACAAAATTTTGCAATATATAATTATTTCCGCTCACAAAGTCCATGCTTTTTATAAAAGATCACTTACACTTCTATCTATTGCAAACTGTGTAAAAATTAAAAATCTTCCTTGTCCACTAAAAATGAGTAATGTAAAGTGAGTACATTACCTACTCATTTACATAAAAAAAATTAATTGAAAATCTTAAATTACTCATTACAAATTAAAAATAAGTAATGTAAAAAAAATACATTAGGTAGGTACTCATTGGAAAAAATGTTATGAAAATTAATTCATTAACAAAGGAGTAATGCATAATGAAAACTCATTACTCATTATTTTAATAATGAGTATTGAAACCTTAATGCATTATTTGCAACTCTGCTAACCTACCTATTTTTTACTGTAAAAATTAAGTTTAGCGTCAAAAACAAAGTAATTTAATGTATTGCTATATTAAAACAAGTTACAGAATAAAGTTGGTTAATGTTGGGTAAAAAAGTTTTTATTAAAATTTAATACAAAGTAGTACTTAAGACAAACTACTTAAAGGTGGAAAAGGATTTTGTTTGCTGACGACAATTTTTTTATGCTGATGGGAAATGTATCCCTTAATTTTTCCTTCATAAATTAAATTGGCCACTATACATTCAGTCTCATCCAAGTCCACATCAGTCTGCCCCAGATGCACTAAAGCAGTTTGAAGAGCCTCCACTGGTATTTGATGGGAATTTAACATTAAATAAATTTTTCTAAACAAATTTCTATAAGCAATTATTTTAAGTTTGTCTACAATCAAGTAAATTCCACATTTTATAAAGAATGATTCGTGTCTTTCAAAAATTTCGTCAAATAACTTTAAATTTCCTTGAACTACAGCTTGCACCAAGTCCCAGAATTGTATGACATCATATTTTTCTAGCACATATTTACTTGGAATATATCCTAGTAACATTTTAACAGGCACCAAATAAATTAAGATTAAACGCTTATTTTTCCTACTGGATCTATGGCAATTCTCAAAAGCATAGGTTAGATAATTGTCAGCCAACTTATAATCACTATCAAACATAGCTTTTCTACCCACAAAGTATCTATAAGTTATCTGCTGACTTAAAGAAAAAGTGTCTTTAAATGGTGATGAATCAATAGCCCTTATCAAAGGTTTACATAAATGCAACTTATTAATCCTAAAGTACACTTTAAACAGCTGATTCACCAAAGCCAACATTCCTATTCTTTTTGTGTCCTCCTCCGATGATCTATTGTCAGCTGCACAAACTCGAAAGCATCCCATTAAACATTCAGCAGCTTTCTCTAATATTTCACCAGGTTTTGCATTGCTACCGACCCTTTGCTGTTCCGCCTGTTGAGCAACTAATCTTAAATCCAGACACACAGTGTACATTATAGGTAAGGACCAATTTTCTTCTTTTTGCGACTGCAAAAGTTTTATAAAAGCTTGTGTTAAGGCACTTTGTTGTTGATAGGCTTCTTGGAAGTCTCCTTGTGCAATGTAATAAAGACATTTCAAGTGGTAACACACAAATTCGTCAATAGGGGCACATAAAAACCGCTCGACTAATCCTTCTGGACTCTCTTGTTGAAAATTTCCATAAGCAGCATGTTCATGCCTAAGAGAAAGAAACGTTGCTAATTTATAACCATCCGGCGTCTTCCAATACCTTTCAACTAATTGCAAATAATGACTTAAACTCATGTAATTCATTTCTACCTAAAATCCGCCAAATTGAAGGTTAGGAAAAAAATAAAATTACACCACTCACCTGTTGACTTTAATTTTCGGTTAATATATTAAAATGTTAATTTAAGCTATATAATAATCAACAAATTTACATTATTAATAACTTCAACAATTAGGTTATTAAAAAGAAAATGTTTTAGGGATAGCTTCGAAAATAACTTATTGATTTAATTGTGGCGCCATCTGTCCATGCACCGTCAAACTAAATAAAGAGGCAATTAGAACTCTATTCGTGAAAAAAAGGAATAATCTTTTGTAAATGCACTTCTATAAAATAGAGGGAGATAGTCACCAAAAAATGCATACTTACTTGTGGTAAGTATATGAAAAAATGCACATACTTCCTGTGTGGAAGTATGTGAAAAAATGCACATATACATTGGAAAAAGTTTAAAACATACTATAAAATTTAATAATTACTATATTACTATATTACTATATTAACCCAACCCTAAAGCAAATTAGGCTAACTTGAAAAGTTAATAACTTTTTTATGTTTTTTACATAATCAAATAAGTACCTAGTAAATTAAAAAACCTTTCGATTGATGATAATATTCCCTTTACCTAAAGTTAACAGTTTCAGAGATATTTAACAATTTCTAAAATTTTAAATATTATTTTGTATCAAAAAATCTGTGAAGGGAGAGTTGGCGGTATATAGATACCATAGGGTTACTTACCACGTAATACAGAAGAAAAATCGAACAAAATTGATTTTTTTTCATTACAGCGCCATCTATTACAAATATGAAAAAATGTTTTGGACAAAAATCTACCTATTTTTAGTCGAATGATCCGAATCTGCAATAAAAAATAGGGTGTTCCATTGGAAATTTTAAAGTTACCCCCTGATCCCCCTAGGAGGACTATGAGGACCAATTTTAGTACTGATTGATTTCCCCCCTCGAATCATTTAATTTATTTTAAACATTTTTTGCAAACTAAGTTAAATGACTCACCCTGTATAGTAAGTATAGTATGTATCAAGTTTTATACATTCCATTTTTGTTACGAGTTTTATTAGGCATGAGCGAAGCTTGCAAGCGAGTGTTTAATAAAAACGAGTGCCTAGAGAAGTTTATAAAACGATTTGCATATTATACTTTATCTACGACGAACAGAAACAAGAATTTATAAATTTATAAAGCCAATTTTATTTGTTAAATATTTGACATATGTCAAATGTCAACGGATTTAACCTCAATTTACCCCAATTTATAATAAAGATAACTTCAGTCCGTGCCTAATTAAAATGCCCAAAAGCCACTATCAGCCACTTTAGCCCGTAAGTAATAAATTTGTAATAAAAATTGTTAATTAAAATATTGTTTGTTTATTACCTAAATTCTTTTTGTTATTAAAATATTTCCTTAAATAAATTTTATATTTAATTATCTACAATTGTAAAGCTTAAGCTCTTTAAAGAGCTCTTTTTTCGGAACCCCAGTATCGTAAAACACTTTCTTTCTGTGCCTACCATGACGGCATGAACGCCGTTTACCCAGGGACCCTAGACCAGGGACTCAGCCGGTATGGATCCGTTGCCCACCGTCACCACGTGGAGGTGCCCTGGTTAGAGGCACAAGCGAAAAATGCTAAAATGGTCAGCGATATCATTATGTTCACCCATTCTTCTATAAATCCAAAAATAGAGAGAATAAAACAGTAAATTTCATATTCATTTCGTTGTAAAGACATTGCTTATCGAGATAAAATTTAACTTTTTACAGAATAGTAAAATCTGCGATAGAAGATAAGGGTTATATAAGGCCAGTTTAGGTTAAATTATGTGATTTAAGGTTAGGTTAGGTGAGTTAAAGTTAGTTTACGTCAACTGTAAGAATGAGACTCCGCTGATATAGGCTTTCAAAAAAAAACTAGCCTTCAAGGCAGTATCCCAGCAAGCACAAACATCCTCAGGACGTCCTTGGACCAGCCTAAATGTCCCAGAATGGGATGATCCTATAAGGACTTCCTGAGGACGTCCATAGGTTGACCTTATCGGACATTAGATCTTTTTTAGGTCCCATTTTGGGATATCCTAGGAACGTCATTTAAGGATGTCGTTAGGACCTAATAATATCCTAATTAAAGCCTAAAATGGGCTGATCATAGGACTAATCCCAGAGACATCCTCAGAATGTCCCGTTAGGTTTTGGTAAACATTTGGTATGCTCATTTTTCTATAAGAATATTTTACCCATATAATTAATAATACCTACATTTTTTTACATAACTTATTTTGCAAAGGCACATCTTAAAAATGTCAATCAATATAATTATAATATTATATTATATAGATTTTTTTAAGTTTATAAACGACTTGCATACTATATTTTTTCTACGACAATCACAAAAATTAAATAACTTTCAACAATTATATATAAATAATTATTTATAAAATCTGACATCGACCAGTCTATTCTAACCTCACTTTTTAGACCCTTTATTTTGATGGTCATTGTTTCGCAGTTGACAACTGCAATTAACTTCAACCCATGACCAAAAAGTCCGAATGCCATTGCTGCCAACTTTAACCCGTGACTAAAACGCCATAAAGCCACAACTTGTCAATGTGTATTTAAAATATCATGGAAACATGTACGATAATCGGCGTTTTAAAGGCGGGAGTTTAAAAACAATATTATATTTTGTATACAACTGGATAGCAGCCAACTTAATACGCATGCGCAGAAATGACGGCTGGTAATTAATAATTGATCAAACACCTTGTTTGTAAGGTATTGATACATTTAGAGTTTTATAAATAATAAATAAGGTAGTAAGCGTCAGTTAACCTTAAAAATGTAATCACAAACGCAATCTATAACTTATTTAATAGTTTGTGTTACCGATTGTTTTAAATTTTCCGCCTTACGTTATGGTGGTAACCATTGTCTATGGTGGTAACCAAAGATGGTGGTAACACTGGATGGAGAGAAAGCTAAGATGACGTATAGCGTCCTTTAGTTGTTTGTCGCCTTTTTGTTAGAAAGAATCATAGATAACACTGTGAAAGGAATTCTTTGTCTGTGCTTTTTCTATGTCGTGAACCTGGTTTAAGGCCGTGAATCTCGTGTTCTCCAAGTGTGTTTGTTATAATATATATTATATAATAGAACACTATAGTGTTCTCTTCGAAATAAACCTTAAATACTAATTTGCTTGAAGATTGAAGTGAACAACAATCATAAAATTCTGGTGAGTTATAATAAGCATACTTGTTAAAAAATAAAAAAATCGTATTTAATTTGTTTCAAAATTTTCAGAAGAAAAAATGCCACTAATTTGCCAATTTAACCGACTTTGTAGCTGCAATAATAATGGAGTTAAAATGGTGAGCAGATAACTTTGGACACTGTGATACATTAATAATATAACTATTATAATATATATATTTATTTAGAATTATTATTTATTTTATATAATTGGCTGTGTAAAATTATATATATGTATACAGAAATAAAATAATATATTTTATAAAGTAATAAAATGGTATTTGATTGATAAAATGTATCCCCAACAAATAACAAGGCCATTCAGAGGATGTCCTCAGGACATCCCATTCCTGGACCAACATATACCCATGGGACTTTCAGGGGACATCCTTAGGATGTCCTATTCCTGGACCTATATGGACCTAGGGATATCCCTAGGATATCCTAAAGGCCATTTGCGGGACGTCTGTAGGCTGGCCTTTTTTGCACCACTCGGCCATGGTTGGGATGTCCTGAGGAGGTCTGGGGACGTCCTAGGATATCCTTGGGATATCCCAATATCCTGTAAGGCTTTCCTTAGGACGTCCTTAGGACAGACTTGTGCTAGCTGGGATATCACAATTTCAGTATATTTCATTTCGTTGCGTTTTTTCGAGGTTAGAGTCAAAATAACAACGTGTGCGATCGATTCTGAGGGATTATTTACATTCAATGCATCGAAAAACATAAGAATCGACATGCCTCATCCCCAGAACAGAAAATACTAATTTTTTCACGTTTTTTGAGGTTAGGTTGAAACGCGGACCTGGAGGACAAATTTTGACATCGGATTCGGATTCAGCGCGTCAAAATCCATAGGAAAGCATATGTCGCATCCCCAGATCACGACACTTTTTTTTTGTGTGGCTGTGTTATTAACTTTAAGTATAGGGTTTTTTAATTTACTATTTGATTATGTAAAATAATAAAAAAGTTATTAACTTTCTCAGGTAATTCGTTAAAAATGTTAAAGAACTAACATGGAATTTTTTAAAAATGTTTTAAGATTACAAAAATTCGTTCGCAGCAATCGCAGGCTGCGATTGTTGCCAACCCTACCGAATTTGCCAGATGGTAACCAGTGTTACCAACCCTACAGAATTTTCGGTTGATCTACCGATTTTGGGAAAATTCTACCGATCTACCGATAGACATCAATATTCTACCGAAACTCTAAATCTTGCAATAATAGAAATAAATAACTTTTTTAGAATAAATTGCATACAAATATTATACTTGGACAACAGTATTATATATTTTTCACTAGTATGTGATTAAAAATGTTTTTACCAACATCATTTGTACAAAAGTCGCACTACGACGGGATCACAAATTTCCATGATACAATAAACAGATTTATATTCTTGCTTTTTGCTGTGTAGATTGGTAAAGTACAGAACATTCAACTTTGTGCAAAAGTAAACGGCGTTTGTTTTTTTAATTTATGTATACTATTAATTTTTTTGTGTTATTGTTTTTGTTAGATTTTTTTATTTTTTATAAATATTTTTCTATAACCTGTGTTTTTTAACTAAAAATTACACATATATTTAAATCTACTGAAATTTGATCATCACCTACGAAAATTTCCAAAGAATCTACCGATAAAATCTTCGAAGAGGTTGGCAACACTGATCGCAGGCTGCGATCAGTGTTGCCAACATCTTCGAATATTCGCAGCAGCTCGCAGCTTTGCTCGAAACAG